TCTGCAGCAGCAGGCCCTCTATGACCTAGCTGTGAATAGAGGAGAGATTGCTCCCCCCGTGAACTACCCTAATTGGCCGCCTCAGCACGGCCCTGTTCCTTCTTGAGGGGGGGGGGGGGGACAATCTTCCCACTTACCCCTACTGGCAAGGTCCTTCCGAGCCTAGTAGGGAGCTCCACAGTTTCCCAGAGGACGGGCACTACGATTATCGTGTGCCTGGCGGGTGTGACTTTAGAGGGGACCCTGCTTACCCCTATGTGCATCCTGATCACCCCACTCCTCTGTATTCCCAGTCTGAGGACACTCCCTCTGATCCTTTGCCCAGTTGGCAAGAGGATCTTTACCGGGGTCACTACGGCTGGCCGCCCGGCTTTGACGGTGGTTGGGGCCTTTTCGGCCCCCCTAGTGGCTTCACTTATGATGAGCCTGGCTCACCTAGTGGGCCTAGCTCTAGTGGCCAGTAGGCTACGTTCCTTGTGTATATCTCTCTTCCCTGTTTTTGCATGCTTATTTTGATAAGTAGGAGATATACTCTTGGTAGGGAGTGACTTGGCTGGGATTCTTAATTGCTTGTCTGCCAGTCTTTCATTGTGTTACTTGTACCTTTATGCTGCTGATTCTGCTGAGTTGCATGGCTGGTGTCTTTGGTTGATTTTTACCCCTGTTCACTGATATGGTTGTTGAGTTTTTGATGTGTCTTTGTTAATGATGATAATTACTGGTTTTCGCCGGAGTGGCGATTCACCAGTACGAGTATATGTATATATGTTTTTCAATGAGTTTTGATGATAATGTTAGTCCTACAATAGTAAAAAAAAAAAAAAAAAAAAAAAAAAAAAAACGATGAAGTTGTTTTTCCTTCTTCTCTCTTGATCCCATAATCCAAATCCCATAATTCAAATCCCTTAATCCAAACTTTGTAGATAGATTTTTTGTCCATAATTTTCTTTTGTTTATAATTTTAGTCTTTTTCCTTTTGTTCACTAACCTTTCTTTGTATAGTTGTACAGTTTCTTTTCTTTTGGCTAGCTTTCCTTGTAGCTTGAAATCGAAAGCACAAATAGATGGGATAAGGAGCAACTCATGCTCCGGAAACCTTGGTGAAATCTATATATTTGTCTTGTCTTCTAATTCAAGCAGCATTTGGTGAGATTTTCCCCTACTATCCTTATTTTCCCTTTGTGTGCACAGTTAGTTTAGATTAGGATGGAGTTGATTGTTCGAGGTTGTTTGCATTTGATTCTACGGAATCTGGTGATCGTTGGTATTGATGCCGAACGATTTCTGTTTGTCGATTGGGAATTAGATGTTTACTAGCCTCCTATCACTTTTGTACTCTTTCTTGTAAAAAAAAAATAAATAAATAAAAAAAAAATATATATATATTTATATATATATAAATTTTTGCAAGGCAAGATTCCATCTTCTTAAATGTTATACAGGTATTGTTGAATGTTTTACTTACTAAGGCTACTGGTCTGCACAAATTGAGATGTTAAGGTTCAACTAAACACGTTTTAATGCTAAGGTAGCGAGTAAGAACTTTAGGTGGCTTGAAGCCTTAACCCTCGGAGCGTGGAAAGATGGTTTTTCTCTCCCTAGTGGATATGATTCCTATAGATAGTATTTGTCACAATACAATCCCATGTGAGGTTTACATTTTTCTAGCCTTCTTCATTCTTGTTGAGCGGCTTAATTGGATCCTTAGCTATGCATGTGCTAATCTAGAGTTTGACCACTATCTACCCAAGACTGTGACTATACCCTCTTAGGAAGGACAAAGGCTTTCCCTTCCACTATTTTTCCTACCCATACACTAGACAATACGCTACATATCTCTCATTCCCCATACTTCCATTTACATTTACATTTCCACTATCATCCTTTCCCCCACTGTATTTCCATTCTTCCACCATCTATTTAAGAAACGAATGTCCATACTATTAAGTGTCTCCTTTCTTAAACTTCTCAAAAAAAAAAAAAAAAAAAAAAAAAAAAAAAAAACAGAAAAAAAGAAGAAAAAAAAAGAGAAAAAATATAAAAATATAAATAAATTTCAATATGATCAAGCTTTCATTTCTAATTGGTGATCATTGGGGACAATGCTCCATTCTAGCTTGGGGGGGATTGACTTGATAGTACCTCTTCTTGTATATACTTTAGTTATGTTCGCAAATAAACTTGGGGGAGACAACTTTGTGGGTATTTTCGCTTGGTATTTTGTGATTTGACCTATGTTCTATCTCATGCACTCCACTACTTAATCTCTCTTCACGAATACCCTAAAAAAAAGAAAAATAAAAAAAATAAAAAAATTAATTCCATTTCGCATTCTAAACCTTCCACAAAACCCTTAAAAGCCTTTTGACCCTAGAGAGTTTAGTCTTCACCAGTGGAGGGAGATAGTTTTCAAGCTTGTAGAGAGGTCATGCATAGCTAAGATGTCGGGATACCCTTCTCATTTATAGCTTAACTTCTATATTTCTTTTTTTTTTTTTCGGTTCCTTCGAGGAATCATGAGAGGCTAACTTAAGGCTTGACTTGAAGCTAGTGGGGAGAATGTGGCTTGATTGTTTGGGGTGAAGGGTGAATGGTTACCCTTTAGTTCTCTACGCTTAGCTTAATTTGTGTTTCTTTGAACCTCTAACATGTCGGAGTGTGCTTACCATTATCTATTTAGAAAGCTCTGCATTCATTGTGTACCCCTTTTGCAAAATGTCTTTTAGGAAGCATATTCATTGTTCATTTTCATTGTCTATGCCTTGCCTTGCGATTGTTGTTCTTGCATGTAGAGTTGTGGGTTAAGCTCTTTGGAAATCCACACGAGATCATACTCGTCCTCACTGGCGACTTTGAGGTTTAAATGGCTTGTTGTTTATGCTAAAAACAACCGTGATTCCTACAAAAGTGAGTTAGTGTATATCCTTTTCCCCTTCTTTTCTATTTTCTTATACTTGAATAATTGTGTCTTATTCTCCTTTGTCTTTAGCTTTGCTCGAGGACGAGCAAAGGTTTAGCTTGGGGGAATTTGATGAGTGACATTTATGTCACTCCGAGGGTAGTCTTTTCTAGTAGTTTTAGCGGTAATTTGGTTCATTCCAGGGTGCTTTTGTTATGTTTTGCCTAATTTAAGTAGTCCACCTATGTGTTGTGTAATGTGTTTCAATTTGGTTTAGGTGGTCTTTACTTCCCTTCCCCTACGTTGTATTACGCTTTGCCTTCCTGTTTTGTAATTGCAGAGTATTGCTGGTGATTCGGATTGGGAAAGAGCAGACTGCTAGAGCAAAGATTTAAGGCATGGCACCAGCGTTCAGACGCGGGCGCGTCACCAAAGCGCGGGCGCACCACTTCCAGGCGCGGGCGCGCGCTGAGCTGGCCCAGTCCCTTGATACCCATATTGGAGCGGGCGCGCTTAACCAAGAGCGGCCGCGCCACCATCTAACGCGCGGGCGCGCCATTCTTCAGCGCGGGCGCGCCCTTCTGCTGCGATCCGTAAGTCAAAATTCTGACTTAAAACAGCAAGGAGGAGTGAGAAGAGGACAACAGATTTTTAGAATAGTTTTCAGCAAAAAAAAAATAATACTCTCTCTTAGTTAGCAACTTCATTAAATTAGTTGATTTAGTTTTAGAAACTCTCAAATCTAATCATTGTAGAAGCAAATTTTAAGATTTATCTTAAGAATTTCAGCAATTATCCAACATTTATGAAGCTTCAATAGTAACTTCTTTCATTTGTCCTTCATTATTTTCTGATTTTATTTTTGTATTGTAAGCCACTTGATTTTCTCTCAATCTTGATATATTGTTGTTGCATGTTAGCTTTGTCCATAGATAATCACTTTTCCCCAAATTTTAGAATCACTTATAATCCAAACTTGGAATTTGCATGTACTCACAATGAATTGTGAGTAGTCCTCTTGGCTAGGGGTTGGGTGAAACTCAACCTATTGGTGATTATGTGAGTTTGGGAGTGATTTTGATGATGGATTGCGATTAAATTTGATTATATGCATGGGATTGCTTGTTAGTTCTTCATGATATGAGTGATTAACCTAGATTATTGAACTTGATGGCATGAAATGTTTGGTTCGACATGGAAATGTGAGTTGAATGTTTCATTACCTATTGCAATATGATTATGTATATTTTGTTTCTAAGTTAATGAGGGATCTAAGCTTAGTAATTTGAGTTGTTTTCATATCGTTTGATGTTGGTCTTGCATGTGGTCTTTGCTATTCCATTATCCTTATTCCTCCCTATTTGCCTAATTGCTATTGGTTGAGTGAATCCCATTCCCCTAGTGTTTTAATCCTTTGAATTCAACCTTTAGTTGTAGTTTGTTAGTTAATCACCACTTATACCTTGATTTCGATTTAGCTTTAGCATTAAGATTATTTAGCAATTGATTCCCGTTCTCCGTGGACCGAACCCTTTCTTGCCATTGTACTTGTTTGAGTGAGGTGTTTGTTATAAATGTGTTTGAATGAGCCTAAATTGTACGACCGATTTAGCGCTCGTCAGGAGGGTATCCCTCTTTTACTTTCTACATCAGAATATTACCAAGTGATTGTTTACTTGACATCAAATTACACCGGAAGTACAAATTCCTAGAGGTTGGAAAACTGGGGAATTATTTGGTTTTCAAAGACAGTTGCACACCATGGAAATTCTACTTTCCAAAAAAATGGGGGATTTTACTTATGAATTTAACACCCCCCCCCCCCCCTTTTCCCTCTCCAACTAATAGACCCTCCTCCTGGTAGTCAACCATACAGTTTTCTTCATTTCCCATGGGAAATGCAAAGTCTTGAGATGCGTATCTCTTGTAAACAACCAAACCATCACTAAGTAGGTTTTGCATTTGTCCATTTTAGTATGCAAAAAAGCCGCCCTTGCATATTTGATTTTGTAAAGCTGTCCAATAAACATCATCTTTGCTGGGAAGCAAGTCTTTCTGGTTTAGATTATTCTTCAGATTTTCCTGACTCAATGCGCCACTTCTTATCAGGAAAATATGGAAACTTTAATGAGAAACAGGGAACTTACAGAAACACGGATGATGCAAGTAAGTTTGCTGGAAAATTGATATTTATAACGAATCCCTTTCTGATAGCATGAAGTCAAGATATGTATGTTATCACATATAAGAAAGGATTTGTCATTTCCATGTACTCCTCTTTAAAAGAAAACTCCATGCAAATGAATCAGGCCCTAAAGGAGGAGCTTGCCTTGGCTGAAAGACGGGCAGAAGAAGAGCGTGCAGCTCATAATGCCACCAAAAAGGTCTGTTCATTGCTCATGTAGGTTATGTATTTTCCTATATCCTTCATCACTCCCTTGGGTTGTTTCTGTTAGCATAATACTATTCATGTAGATTAACAGGCTGCAATGGAGAGGGAAGTAGAGTTGGAACACCGAGCTGTTGACGCATCTACTGGCCTTGCTAGACTGCAATGCTATTCTCATGCTTCATGGCATCATGGCTCCGGAGTAGCATTGTGGCAGGCTCCTGTCGAGATAACTTGTTCTAAAACAATTAGAACAAGCAAATTGTTACTCAAAGTCGTTTTTGTCTTGGACTTCATGGATCATGTCCAAAAATAAGCTGAATTTCCAAAATCATTATTATGGTTTAGGAGATTAGCATATTCAAATTCACGGTCATGAGAACTGCAGCAGGACTAGTGTGTCTCTTGGCCTGTTTGTTAGAGCCTTTTATGCCATCTTTCTCTCTCGAGGTGATTGAACTAGATTGCAATTAAATGTATACGTTATTAGTCGCACATGGGCCAATGTGATGATCTTTATCATAAATTTTAATGGCTCTATAGGTACTGAAGCAGCTTAATATGCCTAAACTTCAAGTATCTCTTTCAGATGAAAATGGGGATCTTGAGAAAATCAAGAAACTCTGGGATATTCTACCTGCTGGTTACAGTATAGGGAAACCAGAACCATTGTTCAAGGAACTGGTATGCTTTTGGCTTTGACGGAGTAATTGCTAATTTATATTACCTTCTGAGGATTTGATTAGATAAAGACTTTGCTAAACATGTCTTTTATACTGCAGAACAGACTTATTTTTATTGTCTTTTATTAAAAGTTTGGGTAATTTGCAGAAAGATGAGGAAGTGGAAATTTTATCGTGATAAGTTTGCTGGAAGTCAAGCGGACATGGCTCTGAAAGCTGCTGCAGAAAAGACTGCTGAGCAGTTGAAAAAAACAAAAATATCAGGTCTGGATTCTAAGGAATTCGGCCAATTTTCTTAGTAAATTATCTTTCACATTCTTTTTTGCTGTAAGCCTATATGTAACAGTATAGACTAATCAATGTTCAGTAGGACTATAGGATTGCCTGCTTTGAACTTTCATCGGGTAAGGGTGTTAGGTGGATATGAATGTGCTTCATTAGAGCAATGTTTCCAAGGTAGTATGTTGGTATTAAAAATAGAAGGTTACAGCAATAGTAGCACCTAGTATAGAATTTTATTTTTTTTATTTTTTTGGATGAAAATTGTAATATTACAGCCCTTTTTAATGAAAATATGTAACTTTATATATATGTTAGTGTTTATATATCAATTTAAGTGAAGAAAATGAAAAAAAAGAAACATTTTTTATTTTTATTTTTTTTGGGCATTTTTGGCATCGGTTTTGGAACAGAACCGGTGCTAAAAGGTTTTTTTTTTAATTTTTTGGCCACTTTTCGCACCGGTTCAAAGCAAGAACTAGTGCTAAAAGGTTTTTTTTAAAAATATTTTTAGGGACTTTTCGCAACGGTTCAAAACCGGTGCGAAATGGGGGTTTTGAACCGATGCTGATTAGCAATTTTTGCCTAGTGCCCTCATATCATTAATCTATCCGGGCAGGCGGCTGCTTTGCTTGAGAGCTTGAGCGATGACTCTAAGCCCAGCACCTCCAGTTGGCACTCTGGCGACTCGGAGGAGAAGCACTCTCGGCTACATACAGTGAGAGAAAGCCATGAGGTGGAAAAAGGAGAGATATGGGTAGAGCCGGCTGCAACCCAAAGAGAAATGTATACCCCTTACTTTTTCCATGTTCCCAAAGGCAGGCGCAAGGCCATGTCTGAAAAGATTGGAAGTTTTAGGGCTGACCATGTAATGGGTCATGGTTACATTCTCTAAGTGCCGAATGCCGAGGATACGGTAGCCTGGCCAAAGAAGTCCAGCTACATGGACGAGTGTTTGGCTTCTATGAGGCGACCATTAAAGCTGGTTTAAGGTTTCCTCTACATCCGGCTGTAGAGAGGATTTTGGATGGGTACCAGCTGGGTCTCTGGCAACTGGCCTCAAACTCATGGTTCAACATCTTGGGCTATGTTGTCGGCTGTGAGATGTACGAGGTGGAGCCAAGCTTTGAAGCTTTTGCTCACATGAAGTACCTCAGTCGGACCCCAAAAATAAGCGGGACCGGCTGGTTCTAGCTGACTAGCCACAAGGGCTACATGATGACTATGGGGAAGGAGAACAAGTGGAAGGATTGGAGGAACACCTTCTACATAGTCTTCCACTCTGACAAGGTTAAGAACAAGAAGTTCAATAGGTGGAACAGGGATCCACCTTACTTGACAGGCGGATCTGACCTGCCCCCTGTTCCTCGAAGAGCAAAAGAAGAGATCCTTGACCGAGGGCTCTTCAAAGTTATTATACAACCGAACCCCGAGACTGGGGTGAGGGAGTTCATCCCTCAAAATTACATCCCAAAGTATAACTGGTTATACAATGGGACATATCTGGCCACCTGCGGCCTTAGCGAGGAGATGCCGAGAGGTAGTAGACCGAGGAGTCGCCTGCCAAACAGGCGCCCAATGTGAGTTACTTTAACTTAGCACAATTTCTTTTTATATATGTCGTTTGTTTATAACTCAACAACTTGTGTTGCAGAGCGACGTAGCCAGACCTTCCTCCTCTTCCCAGCCGGACCCCAAGGTCAGGAAAGAGACGACTGGGGATGTGTCGACTACTGGCAATGCCAGGAGACAGGTGGCCGAAAGGCAAGGAAGGACTTCCCAAAGCGGGGGAAGGACTCCGGCTACCCCTAGGAGAAGCCGGCCTCCTAGAGAGAAAGAGGCGGCTAGAGGTATAATTTGTTCAAATCTCCAAAGTTTCATCAAGCAACCGACTCCTTTGAAATCAGGCAGCTTGTTTGTTGTTTTTATGCTGCGTATTAATCAGGATTTCTTTTTAGATGCCCCTTAAGAGCCGGACCTAGTTCAGATGGCCAAGTCCATGCTGAAGGCCATCGCTGTTAAGGGAGTGGGCACCCTTAACCTTAAAGCCATCCTGGCTCTCCTTGCCGAGGTATACTTACTAAAAAGTGCTCTTTTTCATTTAAACATTTGCCTGGTCGCCTGTAACTGACGACTGTTTTTGGCCGGCTGTAGTCTATGCTGCGAGTGTTTGGTCTCCGCAAACCCATCTCTGAAAAGAACAAAGAGGTAAAAGCTGCGAAGGCCATGGCCGTTTCTGATTCTGATAAAGCTATGCTCCAAATAGCTCAAAACGAGATTCTGACCACTGGCATACTGTATTACCAGGCGTCAGCCACTTTACAGGTCAAGAAGGACTTAGAGGTGGCCAGGAAGAAGATCTTGGAGCTAGAGAAGTCTGTAAAGGACCTCAAAGCTTATATGGCGCCTCTCAAGGAGGCGGACAAGGAAGCCGAGGGACTCGGCGCCCGGGTAAATAAACTCAAGGGCCGCCTGCAGAGTCAATAGGCTGACCTCACCCAAAAACTTATTGAAAAAGCTGGCAAGGAGAAGATGACCCTTGTTCAGGACATGATGGACGAATGCAACACCATTATGAAGATGACCTGGGCGGCCCTCTTCCCAGGGTCCGGATATGAAAATTGGGAGGGCCAATTTGCCGCTTGTTCTGATCAATATAACAAGAAGATCATGAAGCAGGCAGGCGACGAGGAGGAGGCGGAGGATGGGAAGTGGAGTCGGACCAGGAAGAGGATGACAAGCAAGAGGCGGATGCCGATGAGGAAGAGCCGCCGTAGGAGGTGGATGCCGAGAAAGAATAGGCGCAAATTGAGGATCCAAACCCAGCGGCTGCCGACACTGAACGTCCTCCAACTGCTTGAACTCCCATTTTTTTATGTCAACTTTCTTCGGCCTGTGTGTCGCTTGTTCTGTATCATTACCCGACCAAGGGGTTGGGGTTTATTGACAATTTCAAATTTTAACAATGGCCGACTGTTTATATTAATCATCCGGCTGTCTTTACCGGTATTCTTCAAATTTTAAAGTTTTTGAATTTTTTCTTTTCATGAATTTTGCTAAGTGTATGTAGCTTGCTTCTTGTTTTCATGAATGCTTTATATACCGAATGTTCTTGCCCCTAGACGACTGGTGCCTGGTTTTCAAAGGTGTGTTGATTTACCTGTAATTTTTGATACATGAGTATTACTAATTCTAGGTCAATCAATCACTATGGTGATTGCCCCAAACCAGGCGGTCAGTCGGCCATTGTACAGGCGAACACTTAGTATAAATCGGCTCTCGGCCTTATAGTAATCCGCATTATACTAAGTTTGTACTTAGTTTATTTTATTGATCTTAAATAGCCTGTCTACTTGGTGCTTGTACAGAACATGTACCAATCTGGATGTTTTTAATCAAAGTAGTTTTCACGGTGTTACTAACCTAAGTAGGAATAGTGGCCGAATGCCGTCTTTTTATTACAAGGACAGGCGGCTTCATTCTTACCTTTTAGATTCCATTGTAGGTAGGGTGAGTGACTGAGTTAACCTTTAGAAGGAATAGTGGTCGAATACCGTATGTCTGCCAAAAGACAGACGGGTTGGTTCGCACCGTTCAGGTTCCATTCCATGGTTGCCAGTGTGACTGTGAGTTAACCCTTTGGGTTAATCAATCTATGTCACTTTGATTTGAGTGAGTAGAAGAAACAGGCGGCTTTGGCCGCATGGTACCCCTTTATTCGCCAAGTTTTTCTTAGCTATTTACTCAAATTATGCCGACTGTATTGTCCCAAGCAATAACAGGCGGTTTCTGACTTAGATTTTAACTGTCCACCGCGTGTTTGCAGTATAGCGGTACGTTTATCTTTGTCTCAGATCAAACGTTTGCGAGGTTGTCTAGGAGACATTCGGTCGGGCCGTTTGTTTTAGGTTTATAGAGCAATGTGCCACCCAAGTTCTCTGCGACGAATTCACCCGGATGGATGTCGCCGGACGCCTGCTCTTTTTTGGGACAGACGTATTAGTTTAATTTCATAAAGATCATCCGGCCATGGGCCTCAGGTTGATCATCCGGCCTGTGGCCTCATTAGGTTGATCAAAGAACAATTTGCTAAGTTGTCTAGACTTAACATTTTTACTCATGCGAGAGAGTGAATGAAATAAGTAAGGCCGACTGTATACAGGTGGCTTATCCCACTGAGGAGACTTGCACAATACTGAAAAA